CCAGCCCCATCGGCCTGTTCTTTATATTAATWGATGTACCAGAGTTACATTTCTCAATTGTATGTCCTTTAATATTAAAATAGATAGGTAACACATATATCTATCCTGTTCATATAAACACACCAAAAATTTTACTAGTAATAAAACTCTAAAAACTCCCCAGAGAAGGTGATGTAACTAAAATACAACATACACATGGAAGCAGAAGTTACAAGACTATATTTATAGAATTTGTAATCTACCTATACTATTMCTTCTTATTATTTTATTTATATTTAGTTATTGGGACCAGGGATTGAAGCCAGGAATGCTTAGCCACTAAGCCACATCCCCAGCCCTTTTTAATATTTTTAGAGACAGGGTCTCAAGTTGTTTAGTGCCTCAATAAGTTGCTGAGCCTGGCTTTAAACTCACAATCCTCCTGCCTCAGCCTCCCAAGCCACTGGGATTATAGGCATACCCACCACACCTGGCTATATTATTCCTTCTTGAACTTAAAAAAAATAATATAGTTAAGATAACCAATCAAAAATGTTTTGAACAACTTTGTTAGCCATAATATAGATTTTGTTTGAATTTTAAAGAAAATAAATCCACCTCTGAGCAGTAAACAGTGATTAGTGACACTCAGATAATAAAATGAAGTTCACAGGGACTCCTAGATCTTTCTTATATCCAGTGAGAATTTATTATAAAAACAAATAGTGTGTCATTTATTATCTAAATGGCCAAAATAAGKTTCAATGGAAATATAAGTAAATCAGCTCTTTCCTTAACTATTTGAAATATAGGGGGTTTAAATCTTAYATATTTTTGTTAAAATAGTAATTAACCATAGATGACAGATGCYGCTCCCTAGTCAATGGAGAGTCTCAAATTTTACTCTGCATCTCATTGGGAAGGAAATACAAATTTTTAAAATAGAATTAACTTGGGGAAAGGCATCAGTGCTGCAACTCTTAGCACCAAATGTTTTTTCTTGGAGCACCAAATGCTTTAAGGAAAACATTCCAAGTATC